GGGCCACGCAGCGGGGGCAGACGCCGGCTGTGTGGCGGGCCCAGGCAGGGGGGCATGGCAGGGAGGGGGGACAGCCGGAGGAAAGCGCGGCGGAGGTGGACAGCGCACCTTGTCGGAGGCGGGCGCCATGCCCGCCACATCCTCCCGCCGCACCAGCAGCTCCTCGCTGCCAGAGGCGGCAAAGATGAGGTCGTGCTCCTCCACACACTGCAGAGGCAGGCAGGGCGAGGGGGCAGGGCGTGAGGTCGGGGGTCGGGGCAGGGAAGCAGCTCGGGGCTGGGAGCAGCGGCCCTGCAGGCCCACACAACCACACCCCCACAGGCCCACAACACAGTAAAAAAGGGATCACACCACTGAAGAAAGAAAAGGACCAAAAGCCCACCTTCATGAGGTCGTGCATGAGGTGGATGTCAAACTGGACCTCGGGGAACTCCTCGGCCAGCGCCTCGGCACGCGGCAGGCTGCGGTTGAGCACCGTCATGCGGGTGCAGCCCTTGGAGTGCATGTGCTTGACCAGCAGGCGGCTCATCTTGCCCGCGCCGATGATGCACACCTGGGGGAGGGCAGGGGGCAGGGGGAGGGGCAGGGTGGGCGGGCGTGTGGCGGCGGGCGTGTGGCGTGTGTGCCGCGGCCTGGCACCAGCCCAGCCCAGAGCCAGCGTGGCGCCGGCGTGGGGCCAGCGTGGCGTGGCACCAGCGTGGCAGGGCGCCAGCCTGGCGCCAGCTCACCTTGGCATCGTTGAAATCGTGGCTGGGCAGCTTGAGCTGCGCCAGCTCGGCGGCGGCCGAGGAGACGGAGACGGCGCCCGATGAGATAGAGGTCTCGGCCCGCACCCGCTTGCCCGCCGTCACCGCCTGCTTGAACAGGCCGTTGAGGTGGCGGCCAAAACCGGGGCAGTTCTGGCCCACCTTGTGCACCTGGGGAGGGAAGGAGGTGTGGGGGGAGGGAGGAAAGGAACGTAGGAAGGAAGGAAACGGGGAGGTGGAGGGAAGTGGAGGGCGGGGGCCGGCATGGGAGCCAGCCAGGCGGCTGCGCAGGGCGACCAGAGCGGGGAGGCCCGGCCACGCGCTCGCGGCGGCGCCACCCCACGGCAGCAGCAGCGCCAACAGCGGCGGGGCGGCACTGTGCGGGCTCATAGCAAACCGAACGCAGCACCAGCTGCTCCAACCACGCGCATTAAGCAACATTTGTTTCCGACGGCGGCAGCAGCAGCAGCAGCAGCAGCAGCAGCAGCGGCAGCGCCACCTCACGGCCGCGCCAGCACCCACCTGCTTGACCTGCGCCAGGATCTGGCCCTCTCCCATGACCAGCGAGTCGAGGCCGCCCGACACGCGCAGCAGGTGGCCGGTGGCGTCGCGGTCGCGCAGCAGGAAGAGGTGCGGGCGCAACTGGTCGAGCGGCACGCCTGAGGCGCGGCTCATCCACTCCTCCACCTCGCGCACGCCTGCGGGGAGGGGCAGGGGGGTGGGGGAGGTTGAGCAGAGTTGGCGCGCGTGCGTGCGGAGCGGCGGCGCGGGGCGAAACCACCCACCCTCCCTCCTGCCTGCCTGCCAGCCGGCCCCCGGCGGCGCGCCTCACCCCTGTGGAAGCTGAGGCCGACGACGTAGATCTCCATGCGGTTGCAGGTGGAAAGCACGGCCGCCTCCTCGATGTGCGGGTAGCTGCACAGCTCTTCAATCGCCCGCGGCCACTCCGCCTCTGGCACCGCCAGCTTCTCCCGCAGCTCGACGGGCGCGTTGTGGATGGTCAGCCCGATGGCGATGATGCTGCTCTTCTTCTCCATGGCGTACCCTGCGGGGGGTTGCGGGGAGGGGGCGCGCGAGCCGTGGTGAGCGGCCGGCGGCGGGCCGGAGACACAGGGGGCGGCGGCGGCGGCCGGCGGCGACGTGGGCTGGCTCAGCCCCCCACGCCGCCCCGCCCATCGCCGCCGCATTTCCACCGGCTGGCGTCGTGTGAGGGGATGGCGGGGAGGGCTGTGGGGGGCGCCAAGATGCTGCGCCATGACTCCCCCCAGAGCAACCCCTCACGGAGCGAGGGACCGCGCAGGGGCGGCCGCCTGCCGCCCTCCAATCCACTTATGGCAGCAGCTGGACTCACGGTTGACGGCCTTGGTGCTCTGCAGCTGCTGCAGCGCAGCCTGGCTGGAGGCGATGTGGGTGGCCGGCAACTTCACGCTCACGGTGGCCTCTGCCGCCGTGCTAGCCGCACACTGGACCCCGCATGGCTGGCGCCGCCTGGTGGTGCGGCCGAACGTCTGTAGCCGCCGGAGCGAGGCTACTTGCTGGGTTGCCGCTGCGACCTGCATGACTGCCAGGGCTGCCTGTGCTTCTCACACCCACTGCAGAGGCTGCAAGCGTGGCTGCAAGAAGGCCGGGGGAGGCGGGGCTCGCGGCCATCTGGCAATCGCACGCTCACCCTTGCGCCACGTAGCAGGGATAAGGAGCGGGGATCTCATTCGCAGGAGCCCTGGCGTGCCCCTGAGGCCATTACACACGCCGGCTGGTGCCCACCTAAGCCCGATTGGGCCCCGGGGGCAGGCTGGGAGCTCCACCCCCACCGCCGCCAGGCAGGCGCCGCCGCCGCCTGGGAGCTGTGCCATCCCTGCTGGTGCTGGGATTGAACTCCAGGGGCGAGTGCATGTGTGCCGCTGATCCTTGGGATCCGCAGCACGGCAGCGCAACGGCAGCATCCCTGCCTGCCGCGCAGTGGCACGTGCCGCATGTGTGCGCGGCACGGCGGGTACACCATTACACACCGGGCTAAAGATCACCAGCCGCCTTCCTGATCACTGAATGGATTCGACCCAGGCATCCCTGGCCTGCTACAGCCTGGCCTGGTACAGCCGCCGCCCGTCCGCCTGTGCCCTCCCGGCGCGCTCAGCTCCGCTCCGCTCAGCGCAGCTCAGCTCAGCATCTCAGGCTTCAGCACATAGCCCTGCAGCCCCGTGACATACGGCGACGCCTCGCCCGCCGTGTGGCCTGCAGCGCGTGCAGTGCAGCGCGGACGCCTCCGTCAGGCAGGCAGGAAGCAGCGGCAGTGGCAGCCTGCCGTGCCAGGCCACGCCCTCCACGGCGCCGCTGACGCGTGTGTCGGCTGGCCTGCCCGGCGCCTTCCACCAGCGAGCCCAGCGGGCGCCTTGCTGTGGGCTGCTGCTCACCCTCGGCCACCTCGCGAGGCTCCCCGCTGGCAATGCGGGGGATGTCGCCTGCGTCGGCCACGGAGCGAGCCAGGCGCACCGCGTTGCTCACCTTTGACAGATACACCTGCGGGCGGCAGCAGGCGGCAGCATCACATGACAGGGGCCGGAGGCCGCTCAAGCGGGCAAGCGGCAGCGCGGGGTAGGGTGGCCAGACGGCTGGCAGAGCGATGATGGTGGCGGCGGCAGTGGTGGTGGTGCCTGGGTGGCTGCACCGGGCGGGGGGTGCAAGAAGAATGCAAGCAGGTGCGGTAAGCGGGCCGTGCGCGCCTGCTTGGAGTGGCAGGAGGCGAACAGCGCGTCCTCCACCTCGTGTGCCAGTGCCTGCACGTCGCGGGCGGGATCGCTTGCATAGCTGCGGCATGGGGCAGGAGAGGCGACGGAGGAGGTAAGGGTGGGGGGTGGGGGATGGCGGTGGTGTGGGCAGGGGCTAGGCGGTGACTTGTTGTGAGTGCGAGCTGGGGGCTTGGAGGCAGGAGTGTTGCAGCGGGGCAGGCAGGTGGGCAAGGCATGGGGAGGAGGTTGGGCAGGGCAGGCAGGCCGGGCAGGCGGGGTCGTGGCACCCCGGCAGCAGCACCCCGGCGGCGGCTGCTCGCCTCACCGCGGGTTGGCCCTCAGGCTGTCAAACAGCGCCTGGATGATGTGCTCCCGGGTGCCCTCTGGGATGGCGGCCTTGCGGGGGGTGTCTGGCGGCGGCGCCTCATGCGCGGCGTGGAAAGCACCAGCCCCCGCCACGCCGNCCGCGGCCTTCACCTGTCCGGCCAGCTGGCCGAGCCGTGCATGCTGCTGCTGCTGCTGCTGCTGCTGCGGCGGCGGGTGGTGGTGGTGGTGATGCGCCTCGGCCGCCGCCTGCTGCCGCTCATAGGCCTCCTCCGCCGCCTCCAGAACGTCCAGCATGGCTGCGCTGCCGGCGCAGCCCTGGCGGCGCGCGGCCGTGACGGCCGCCGCCGCCGCCTCCCCCGCCGCACCCTCGTAGTCTGCCTCTCCCATCTCTGCATCCGCCGGCGCCTGCGGGCCTGCAGCTCGAAGCGTGGGCAGAAGCGGTGGCAGAAGAGGTGGTGTTGGGCACAAAGCGGTGGAGAGACGGCGGGGGCGGCACATAGGTGGGTGTTGAAAGCCCAAGCCCTCTCAGTCGGCTCGACCTGGCGTTCCCGCCGACGGCAAGGCAGCCCTCTGCGGGTCCTGCCGCCGTACCTGCGGCATCAGGCGGCGCCTCGGGGTCAGCCTGGTATCGGAACGCCGGCTCCGCCTCGCCGCCAAACCGCGGCGGCTTGCGCGGCCGGTCATCCAGGTCCGGCACCCGGCTGCCCGCGGGCCCCTGGGTGTCTATCGTTGGCAAGCCTGCGAGCATATAAGGGCGCAGGGGTGGCATGGCGGGGGGTACACGGGCTGGTGTGGCAGTGGCGCAGGCGCCGCCGAGGTGCGCTGGCCGGCGGATCCCTAACCCCCCTGCAGCTAAGCGGCGGCGTTGTTGCGTCTGCCCTCACCGAAAATGCGCTGCGTCCATTCATCCTCGCCGACCCGCCTGGCCGAGTCTTCAGTGAAGTCGACGCTGGTGTCGCCCCTGTGCGGCACGGCAGTGGGCACAAGCGGGTGAAGCTCCTCGATGTCGGGCTGGGACTGCATGCCGATCGTGAGCTTCCCGGAGCGAGCGCCAGGGTTTTGGCGCCCTCTGCTGAGATGGCACAGATGCAATGAATGCCGCCTTACGCCCCACCACGGCAATTCAAACAATTCTTCTGGCACCCGCAGAGGCGTCCAGGGAGCTGCAGCATGCGCCAACTCGAGGACTTGGATGACCCGCTGCTCCTGCACTGCTTCAGCTTCTTGACTCCGCTTCCAGACCTGTTCAATGTCGCCGCAAGCTGCCGGGTGAGACCAGGATCGCGCCGGTGGTCTGGAGGAAGGGCCTCGCGCTGGCATGGCCGTCTCTCCTGCCCCGAGCCTTGGGCAGGCACCAGCTGCGATGCAGCGAGCGACAGGGCAATCAATCAATGACGAACCGCTGCCCTACCACCTCTCGCCCTCGCACCGCAACCCCCCGCCTCGTCTCCCGCCTCTCTACCCACCTCCACTTGTTTGTGGCCTCAGTGCTTTGCTCCTGATCGCGTCCACCAACTCGCCCCCTGCCCCCCCTCCTGCCCCCGCAGCGCTTCCGGGACCTGGCACTCGACCGCCGCTCCTGGCTGTTTGTGACGCACGCGGCGGCGGCCGCCGCGGCCGCGCCCCGCCGCGCCGAGCGCGCCCCGGCGCCGGCGCTGCCGCCGTGGGCCGCCTCCAACGCCTCCCTGGGCAGCCCAGCAGCAGCAGCGGAAGCAGCAGCAGCAGCCGCAGCAGCAGCAGGCGACGGTACGCCGCACTGGTACCGCAGCCAGTTTGCCACGCTGGACGCGGCGGTGGCGGCCAGCCGCCCGGGAGACACCATCCTTCTCGAGGCTGGACCAGGTGCGCCCCGCAGCCTGCGCCCTGCCGCTGGCTGCGGCAGCGGCGGCGATGCATGCCGATGCCGCCGCCTGCTGGCGGCGTCGTGCTGCTTGGAGGCGCCGCCCATCTGTTATGGGCGCCAGCCCTGCTTAGCAGCCACAGGCTGGCAGGCAGTACGCAGCCGGCCGGCTGCGGTTCCAGCCTGCGGGAACCGGCCGGCAGCACCCTGCAACCCGCCCCAGCCTCACGCCCCCGCCCCTGACCCTGCCCCTGCTTCCTTCCCGCCCCGCCCCGCAGCGCCGCACGCCGTCTCCGCGCCGCTGGCCGTGCCGCACCCTGTGCTCATTCTGGGCGGTGGGGTAGAGGCAGGGGAGTGTGTGCTGCAAGGGTCACCCGGCCTGGATGCTCTCCTGGACTTCAGGCAAGCCGGCCCCTGGCAGCGCGCCGCCGCGCCTGGCGCCAACCTGCGTGCCTGCGCTCAGGCGGGACGGTGGGGTGTACTGCTGCCGCCGCCAACCCTGCTGCTGCGCTGCTGGTGCCGCTGATGCTGCCGCCGCGGCCGCCGCTGCTGGTCAGCTTGCGTGCGGCTGGCAGCAGCGGCGTGTTTCTTTCGTGGCGGCTGAGCCTACTTACCGCGGCCTCCCGCGCTCCCCGTCACCTGTTGTCCAGAGCCTCTGGCAGGCTGGCCAACCTGACGCTGCGGGCCACCTCGGGCGCCTGCGTGGCGCACACCCGCGGCAGGCTGACCGTGCAGGTGCGCCGCGTGGGCGGCGGCGGGCCCGGGCCGGCCGCTGCCGGGTGCCGCCGCCAGGCTGCCTGCCTGGATCCAGCCCCGGAATCAACACAGGAACCACAGAAGCACAGAAACCACAGAAACACAGGACCATCGCGTTTGCTGCCTCTCCAGCCACGTGCCGCCTGCCTTCACTTCCTGCCAGGTTTGTTCCGGCGCTGTTTTCGGACGCAGCGCGGCTGAGCTCTGTGCCGCCTGCCGCCGCCTCCCGCCTGCCTGCAGGGCTGCAACCTTGAGTGCGACGCGCGGGGGCTGCCCCACTTGGTAGCCCCTCTGCTCACCCGTGCCGCCAGCTGGCCTCGCATTCCGCCCACGCCCGCCGTTGGCGCCGCCGCCGCCCTGCCGCACCCCGCCGCGCCCGGCCCCGCTTTGGCAGCAGCGACCGGCGCCGCCGCGCAGCGAGGCGCCAGTAAGCGCGCCGCGGCCGGCGACGGCGACTGCGCGACGGGCACGGGCGGCGGCGCCGCTGCGGAGGAGCCGCCCGCCGCCAAGCGGCTGCGGGCGTGGCGCGACACGGCGTCGGCGGCGGCGGGCCCGGGCGTGCTGAGCGTAGCAGAGAGCCGCATCAAGGTGGGCTGCTGCTCCCTGTCCAGCTGCTGTGCTGCTGCTGCTCTGGCGGCAGGGCGTGGGTGTGCGCATGCACGCGGTGGTTGCCGCCCCCGAGCCCAGCACGCCGCCCCCCGCCTGGAGCCTCCGCCCTCTGCCCTTGCACCCGCTCGCGGCTATAGCCGAGGCCCTCCTCACACACACAGAGAAAGAAACTATGGCTGGGGACAGCCCCTGCGGTAACCCTCCCTCCTCCTTTTTATTAGAGGTTTTTGACAAAGTAACTACTATTTCTGCCCTCCCCGCCCGCCCCCCCCGCAGGCCGTCGGTTGCGCTGTGGAGCTGCGCGGCAGCGGGCGGCTGTCTGCGGTGCGAGCCATCTACAACAGCAGCCACACCCTGATCTGGCTGGAGGTCGACTCAGCCGACTTTCCACCCGACTTCCCAGCTGGCGGCCGCCACGTCAGCGCCGCCAGCCGCGCGCCGGCGGCCAACGCCGGCGACGCCCCGGCCAGCGACGCGGCTGCGGCTGCGGCCGGCAGCAGCAGCGGCGGCGGTGGTGGTGGTGGGCTTGGAGCCGCAGGCTGGGCTCCAGGCCCTGCTGCCCACCCGGCCACGCCGCTGCCGTCGTGGGCAGTGCGCGCCGCGGCGGCGGGGTTTGATGCAGCCGCCTTCCAGCGCCGGGCGCAGCGGCTGGCGGCGGCGGCCGCGGCTCCTGCCGCCGACGCCCAGCCGCGGCGGGGAGCTGCCGGGGAGCAGCCGGCGGGGGCGGCAGGCATGGAGCTAAAGGCAGAGGAGTGGTGTGTGCGGCACCACGCCGCCATGAGCCCGCCACCCAAACCCTGAGGCATGTACGGGCAGTACTGCCCATGCTGTACCATCGTGCACTGTTGTTTTGGCAGGTACCACCACCCCCGCTACCGCTGTTGCGTTGCGTCGCTCATTCCCTGTACTTTTATCCTTGGCTTTTGGTCGCCCTGTTGCCCCGGCAGCTGCCCCCAGCGCGCAACACCTTACAGGCGGGGCCGAGGGGGCTGGCGCAAGCCTGCCGCAAAGCGCGGCAGCCAGGAGGCGCCACCTCACGGCCGCCCCTTCTGCCCCTGCTGCCCCTGCTGCTGCTGCTGCCGCGTGGGGCTGCTAGACAGGCTGGCCTCCAGCTGCTGGATGATCGCTCCCGCCACATCGTACGGCCGCGCCGCCTCTGCCGCGCGCACCCGCTCCGGCCGCACTGCATGAAGCGGCATCAGCAGGAGGAGCGTGGTGGGTGAGGGCGGGCTGGCAGGTGGGCAGTTGCGTGCGGTAGCTGGTGGTGCGCTAGGTGTGTGTCGGGTGGTGGGTGTTGTGGGTTTGCCGGTGTTCTGAGAGGGCTTCAGGCGGGCACAGGTTGAGGAGTGGAGGGGGACACCTGTCCCCGCCCACCTGTCCCCGCAATGACGGCCTCGGTGTGTAGCTGGCGGCGCAGCCGTGCCGCGCGGTGCTCCTCCGGCAGCAGGGAGGCCACCTTGTCCTGCAGGCAGTACAGTAGTACCATAATAAAGTGGTACATCAGTACGTTGACTGCCCGCCAGCAAAGGATGCCGGCACCAGGCCCCGCCCCTGCTCGCACTCGGCTCCCGCCCAGCTCCCGCCCCGCCACCCCCGCCGAGAGCGGCGGCGGGCAGGCAGATGGAGGCAGCGGCACACATGTGGCATGTTGGTTTAGGGAGCCCTAAAACCCCAAGCGACGGCTGGGGTGGGGTGCGGGGCCGCTCACCTGCAGGAGTCCCAGCGGGATGCCCAGGGAGGCCCCCAGTGCCGCCCCCAGCACCAGGCTGCGCAGCGGCGAGGCGCGCATGCCCATGCTACGGTGCACTGCAGCAGCGCAGGGGGGAAGGGGCAGACGGGAACGGGAGCTTTGACGCACAGCGCACTCCACACAGCGTCCCGCCTGGGGCTGCCCCTCATGAAAGCAAAGCCCGCCAGCCTGCAGCCGCTCGCTTGCTGCGCTGCTGCCCCTGCACCTCCACCACCACCACCACCCCGCTGCCTCATCCCCGCCGCCACTCACGGGACAGCCCAAACAGCGCGCCCGCCGCCATGCCGCCGTGCGCCGCGTCGAGGAAGTCGCGGCGCCCGCGGTACACCCCGCTCAGCACCTGTACCGCATAGAACGCCGCCGCCAGGCCCCCAAAGTGCAGCCCGCCTCGCACCGACGCGTTGGCCACCCGCGACAGCCGCTGCGTGTTCTCCTCGGCGATCGCGCGCGCCGCGTGCAGCTTGGTGGGCGCGCCGGGCGGCGCCTGCGGCGCGCCTGCTGGCCGGGGCGAGGCGGGGAGGGGGGCGGGCGGGCAGGCGGGTTCGGGCGGCAGGCAGGCGGGAGGGTGCACCTCTGGCGGCGCCCATCTGCTGGGCTGCGGCCCTCTGGCTGCCCTCTCCAGCAGCGTGCTGAGCACCCCGCGCACCCGACCACGCACCTGCGCCACCCAACGCACAAACACACACGCGTCACACACAGGCACACACAGCGGCGCCCCCTGCCCACCTGCCCCCCGCTCGTCGATCCACTGCTTGCCGCCCCCAAACACCAGCCCTACCAGGGTGGCGGTCAGGGTGTCCTGGGCCCACTCCCGAAGCTCCTCAGGCATAGGGGGCACCTGCAGGGGACCGCCAGGGCCAGGTGATGGTTCAGGCAGGCAAGGGAGGGTGCAATAGGCAGAGCCACGGGTGGGGAGCAAGGCTGGGAGTGCCGCCGCTTCGACGGCACACCGCACCTCTTCCCCGGGCTCCTGCCGCTTGAAGGCGTAGCCAGCCAGGCGCCCCACCCGCTGCCAGCCTGTCAGCGGCTCGTCATCAGGTGCCGCGCGGGCCATGGCTGCCCTTCCCGTGGCGCCTGGCGGCGCAGCAGCGGCCATGGCGGCGAGGAGCGGCGGCGACGGGGGCGGCAGAGAAGCGGGTGACGGCGATGGGGAGGCGGGATCCAGAGGGGGGTGCTGTGGATCCCTGGAGCGGTTCCAGCTGGTTCTGAAGGCCAAAGGGAGGGCTCAGCGGGACATCCACATGTGTGCACTTGCGAGGGAGGGTGGGGTGGCTCGGACGCCCACTGGTGCAGCTGTGGTATATGGAGAGCAGTGCGCAGAGGCCCGCTTGATGGGGTGCTCCCCAGCCTGCTGTGACCTGGCAGAACATGGCCTGGCGCACTCAAATCAAGCTCGTGTGAATCCTCCAGCCGCGCAGCTGTGATGCCCTGAGCAACCATGCTCTTCCTGGTGGCCATTGGCGCCGGTGCGGCGGTGCTCGAGGTGCACCGAGCTCTTCACAATAATGGTAACGGGGATGTGAAGGAGCTGCGGGAGAAGGAGGCGTCGCTGCGCAAGCAGCTGCAGGTGAGTGAAGCGTGGGCCGGCCCTGCCTGGAGCTGTCTGTCAGCCACTGTCGCTGCTGCTGGCGCTCTCCTGGCAGCCCTGGCCTCCTGTGCTCGCCAAGCGATCACCCTCGTCCGAAGTCCAGCAAGAATGTCCGGCTGCTGGCGCCCTGAGGAGCATTGCCCGCCACCGCTCGGCACGTCGCTCACCACCGCCGCCACGCCACTGGCTCCGCCGCTCGCACCCTTGTTCCGCGCAGGACATGCAGCGCGACCTGCGCACCGCGCAGCAGCAGCGCCAGCTGACGGAGGCCGAGGCCTCGCAGCTGGCGGCGGTCAACCAGCGGCTGTCGGCCGAAAACGCCGACCTGGCGGCCACCAGCAGCAGCCTTAAGGCCGAGAACGAGGCCCTGGCAGCGCGTGCAGACAGCCTGCTGGAGCGGCAGGCCGCCCTGGAGTCGGCCGCAGAGTCGCTGAAGCTGGAGAACTGCACGCTGCTGCAGCAGTTTGACCGGCTGAAGATCAAGTACGAGCACGAGGCGGCGGGGTTCCAGGAGCAGGTGGGTGCTGGCGGGTGCTGGTGGGTGCTGGTGGGTGCTGGGCAATGTTGCTGGGTGCTGGGTGCAGCGCAGTGCAGCCACCTTGCTTCGGCTCCAGGGTCAAGGTGAAGGTGGTTGTGGGCTGCCAGGCGGCGGCAAGGCTCCCTTCCCGACATAGTGGATGCTGATGCACCGGTGGCCGGCCGGTGCTGCCTGGCAGCCTGCCCGACCGCAGCAGAGCTCTGTTCCCCAATTCCAACTATCAGCAAAATCCATCGCCCTCCTCACCTCCATCTCCCTCCACCGCCCGCCCTGCCAGGTGGCGGAGCTTAAGGCGGCCGTGAGCGGCGCCCTGTCGCGCTTCACCTCTGGCGAGATCTCAGCTGACCAGCTGACCGCCTTCCTGTCTGCCATGGGGGTGGAGCTGCGCTGCAGGTGGGTTGCCGGCGCCGTGCTAATCATCTATGCACTACGTGCGCCTGTGTGTTCGCCTGTGTGTTTCGTTACACGTGGCATGGAGCTGGCTGCGCTTGGGGCACGCTAAAACAATATCCCCCCTCGCATGTTCCTGCTCCTCCTTTCTTGTCCCAGGAAAGAGGCCCTGGACAGCCTGCCCGACCAGCTCAACAGCGCCCGCAGCTTCGACGAGCGCCTCAAGTGAGGCCACGGGCTGGCTGGCTGCCATCCCTCTGCTGCCCATCCACTTGCGTGAAAGCACGCGCCTACGCCCTGCCCACCCCCACGCCAACCAGCACACCGCCGCCCTGCTGTCCCCACCTGTGCTGCGCCTGCACTGCACTGCCAACCGCCGCCCTCGCTGCCTCCTCCTGCAGGCTGCTGGATCAGGTGCAGGTGGAGGTGGGTGAGGGCTGGATGCAGCAGATGCGGCTGGTGACTGCCGAGCCCGGCCGCGCCGCGCGCCTGCTGATGGCGGGCGCGGCGGCCGCCCGCAGCGCCGCCGCCGCCGCCCCGGAGCTGGCCGGCGCGGGCGAGGATGAGGCTGCTGCCGTGCCTGCCTCTGCCAGGTGAGCTGCCAACAGGGTGCCTCTGTTAACAGTGGAGTGGCTTCGAGGGCTGGGAGGAGAGAGAACAGTGTTTTAGCGTTGCGCGCCAGGCAGCATGTCGGGGAGTGCCAGAGGCTGCCGCTGACCTTGCCTGTCATACATTGCTGCCGTGCAGTGCCCCCGCGGCTCTGGCGTACGCCCCTCCTGCCAAGCTGCCCACCCCTCCCAAGGGCCGCGCCGCGGCCTCCCAGCTGCAAGCCGTCAAGGTGCCGCCGCTGAAGCTGGGCGGCGTGGGAGGCGGCGGCGCCGCCGCCAGCAGCACCGCGGCGGACGAGAACACAGGGGTCAATGCGGCCGAGGTGGCGGCTGCCCCGACGGCGGACAAGGCTGTCAGCAAGGGGAAGAAGAGCGGCACCTTGCGGTTCCTGCCCGGGAGGAAGGTGGTGAGGAAGCAGGCGGTACCGCCCCCGGGCCCGCAGCTGGCGGTGGACCTGCCGCTGAGCTCCCGGGGGGAGGCCTCGGCCATGCCCCGACTGCCCTTTGATGCCGGTGGGTGGCTGGCCCAGGATTGACTGCATGGCAGGGCGCTGAAGCAGTGTGTGCAAGAGGAGGCCAGGAGGGAGAGCGCCTAGCTTGGCTGCCCTTGCTGTTGTTGGCTGGCTGGTGCCCGGGTGCCCAACCACGCCTGCTGTGACACCGCCATTGCGCTGTGCCGGCAGGCGCGGATTGGCTGGATGGATGGCGCTGAGTGTGTGCTGCCTTTTGGGCTGCAGTGAACGATGACATGGACATGCCCGGCGGCAGGGGTATAGTGACGATGTGAGCCAGCGTGGCGGGCACATGGCAGGCCTAGGCGGGGCATCCTGGGTGACAGGCGCTGGCGGCACCAGCAGCGAAGCCCCGCCCTGGCGCGCGCACCTCGCTCCCAGCCCACCCTGGGCGGTTGTATGCATCCTGAGAGCCCCTGCCCTGCGTGTGTGCACTCGGGGACTCCATGCTCTGCTTGTGCATCTGACCACGCATGCGCACCGGCCTGCCCGTCCCGGGGCTGCCTACATGTATTTGCTTGGTTTTGCAGCTTCCGTTGACGTTGTTTTCGCTCTCCCCCTTGCAAAGCGAGCCCCTCCCTATACCTGGCCTGGAGGAAACCACAGGCGCAGATGGGATGGATGCACGCCCAGAGCTGCTAGGCGGCAGCCTTGCTGCCCTCACCCCATCAACCGCCCCCTTCCAGCCAGGCATGCCTTGCCTGCGTGAGCGTGTGTGATTGGGGTTACAGAAGGGGATGGGTAGGTAAGAGTGGGTAAGAGGGGTGCTGGGATACAGGGGTGTAAGGAGTGCGCTAGGCTATATACAAGGGTGCCAGCGGTGGTGCCCGGGGGTCAGGGTCGGTAAGAGGGGCAGGGCAGCATGCAGAACGCCCGCGGCAGGCGCGGTCGGCGTTGCTGCATTGCGCTGGGGCGCGGGTCAGGTGCAGAAGGGGGTGGAGAGCTGGAGTACAGCTTGTGCCGCGGCCCCCATGAACTGTGCATTTGAATGGCGGGATGAATAGGCAGGGGTGGAATGATTGGGCAGGGCGGGCGTGGGCCCGCCGCTGCGAGAGACGGAGCAGGCTGCTGTTGTGCTGCGTTCCCACAGGGTGCAGCATGGGGCAGCTGGGAGGAGGGGGCCGGGTGGGTTCCGGGGTTCCTCAGGCAAGAATTGGGAGAAGAATGGTGTTGTGCTGGGGTGGTACTGGATGAGGGAGGAAAGCAGCAGGGACATCTGTGTAGCTGGGCTCTGTACAGCGCGGCGCCCAAGATTAGGAGTGTGTGCCGCCAGAATGTATAGGCCGTGAGTAGGCGCCGCGTGCCGGGCAGGCAGCCTGCGGGCGGCGCCGCGTCGGCTGGCGGCTCGTGACGTGTGCCGAGAGGTAAAGAGGGCCCAGGGAGGGGGAGGGTCACGGTGGGTAGGTGCGGGGCGGCCTCAGGAGAAAACGGGCGGATGGGATGGGATGGATGGGTAAGAAGGCAGGTGCATGTGTTGGCAAAAAGGGGATGGGTTGGGGCTCAGTCTCGCCGTAGTGTTGACGTTAAGGCTGGCGCAGGCAGCGGGCCGGGGAGCGTGCTCGCCGGGGCTCAGCAGGAGGAGATGGAGGAGAGGGATGAGGAGCGAGAGGCGGGGCCCAGCAGGGGCTGCCCCAGCGTGCCGCCGCAGCGGCGCCACTGAGGGTCCGCCGCCGCGGCGATGAGGAACTGGCCGGCGGCCGGCTCCTCGTGCCCCTCGCCCTCGCGGCCCTCGCCGCCGCGGGCGCCGCGCGCCGAGTGGCGCAGCAGCCAGACGGCCAGCCAGGCCACGCACAGCGCCAGCTCGCCCACCAGCAGCACCGCCAGTGCGTGCTCGTGCTGGCACGCAAAGCGGCACAGCGCCAGGCGGGCAGCCAGGTAGCGCTGGTACAGCGCTGAGGGGAGGTCCGTGGCGGGCCTGCGGGGAGAGGGTGGAGAAGGAAGGGGTGGAGGCCACGTCAGGCAGGCAGGCAGGTGTGCGCTGGGATCGGCACCCAGGCCCCAGTAGCGCTTCAAAGGCGCCCCCAGGCAGGCTGGCGTGCAGAACAGGCAACAGGGCCGGCCGCGCGTCGTGCCACACACACTAGGCAGCCCGGCCGGGCCGGGCAGGGAAAGGCTGGGGCCAGAGGCGGGCCCCAAGCGGTGGCTGGGGCCGGGCGTCGCCAAACACAATCGCCGCCGCCGACAAAACGCAACACCGGGAAAACCGCAGCAAGCTCACTCTTGCAGCGCGGAGTCGTCGGCGGTCATGCAGGCGCAGGTGCGCGCCTCGCCCTCCTCCAGCTGGCGGACCTCCAACTGGCGCGGCTGCAGGCCGGCGCGGCCCAGCGGGCCCGCGCGCGCCGCGGCGGACGCCACGCCCGCCGCCGCCGCCTCCAGCGCCGCTGACAGCTGCTCCTGCGACGAGGCGGAGCCAGAGGCGGCCTGCCAGGTGCGCAGCAGGGCTGCGATGCTGCCCGCCATGCGCCGCGCGGCCTCTGCAGCGGCAGGGGGCGAGGGACACAAGCCGGGGAAAACACACGCAGTCAGTGCTGGGAGTCGCTTGCAAGGGCTGGGGAGGGACGGGTGAGGCTGCCGCGGCACGGCGCCACCGCAAGCAGCCCTGAACCCTGAGCAAGCAGCCCACGGCCGCCCCTGCCGTCGCGCACGGCGCCAGGCGCCGCTACACACAGCCCCCACCCACCTGGGTTGTCGGCGTCAATGGTGATATCCACAGAGAGGCGCTTGCCGTCCTGGCCCTCGCCCTCGCCCTCGCCCTGCCCCAGCTCCAGCTTCATCCGCTGCTGCTGCTGCTGCCGCTCCTGCTGCCGCTGCGGCTCGCCCACGAGCCGCGGGGGCAGCGCCGACCGCTGCGCCGCGCACCGCGCCAGGTGCCGCGCCTGCTGCCGTTCCATGGCCGCAGCCAGTGCGGCCGCCCGCCGCTGCTCCGCCGTCGCGGGCACCTGCGCCGCGGCGGCCAGCCGCACGACGGGCGCCATCCTTCCGCGGCCCGCGCCGGCCTCCCGAGACGCGTCGCCGGCGTCGTCGTCATCGTCCGACATGGCGGCGGCCGAGGCGAGCGCCTCCGCCTCGCGCTCGGCCTCGCCGCCAATGCCGCCGTCGTCGTCGACGTCGCCGTCAGCGGCAGCGAAAACGGCGGCGGGGCTTCCCGCCAGCAGCTGCGCCAGGCGGGCCTGCACCGTGGCGCCGATGCGGGCGGCCGCGGCGCCGCCGCCGGCCACGTCGGCGGCCAGGTCGGCGGCCAGGCGGGACGCCAGGTCAGCGGCGCGTCGCGCATAGCGTGCCGCCTCCCGCGGGTCAATCAGCATGAAGGCGGCGTCGCCGTCGCTCAGCTGGTTGTCGTAGTCGTCTGCGGCGGGAGAGGGGGCGGTAGGAAAGGAGTGTGATGTGAGGTGTGATTAGGGGATCTCTGGTTTGGTGCATGTGAGTAGGGGAGTGTGTTAGGAGATGTGAGAAGAGAAAGGATGTGAGGATGTGAGAAGAGGGCGGCAGCTCGGTGAGTGGCGGAGGGAGGAGTGCAAGGGGGTATGGGAGGGAGGCGAGGGCCGGGGCGAGAGCGGGGGGATGGGGAGATGCGGCATGACAACAGCAGGGCAGCAGCGGCGGGCGAAGCCAGAGCCCCGCGTCCCGCTGCCTTCCGCCTCCGCCGTCGGCGCACGCCCCCGTTCAGCTGCTGCCACCAATGCAGGCCGCCCCACACGCCCCCTCCATCCTCCACCCTCCTGCCCACCTTCCGGTGTGTCCATGAGCGGCCCACGCTGCACGGACGCGGCTCTGGCAGCAGACACGGCGGGGTGCTGGCGTGAGCGTGGGTCCTCCGCCCACGCCGCCCTCCCCGCCATGTCAGCCATGGCCGAGTCCTCATCATACCCCTCCTCCCCTCCCCGCTCCCCTGCCGGCTGCTCCTCGGCGGCGCTCTGCTGCCGCGCCTCCTGCTGCTGCTGCGGCGGCTGCTGCGGCTGGGCGTCCGGGCTACAGAGCTCCATCAGCGGAGACAGCTCCACACCCAGCAGCAGGCCTTTGGGGCTGGTGGCGCCGGCAGAGGCGCCGGGAGGGCAGTCGGGGCTGCGAGGCAGGGGGCAGGCGGGGGAGCGGGGGGCGCCGGCGCGGGTGAGGTGGTGGCCGGGCGGGAGGGAAGGGCGGGGGGCTAGCAGATGGGAGGGTTTGGTTGCAACCAGCGGCAAGGATGCGATGGGGTGGCTTGGTTGCAGCGCCAGCGCAGGCAAGGGGCGCAGCAGACGGGGGACGGGGGATGGACGAGGCTGCTGCAGCGCGCAAGGCGTCTCCGCAATCTGCGCCTGCCTCTTTACAACGCATGCGGGGGCCAGCCACCAGCAGCATCTCACCAGAGGCAGCCATTGCGCCTGAAGATGCCGAGCAGGCCGCAGCAGCGCGCCCGCACTGTCTCCTGGGCGACCCCAGAGGCGGCGCAGCGCTGCAGCACGCCAAAGGCGGTGCCGCAGGCGCGCTCGTGAGCGCTAGGCGCCGCCGCCGCGCCGCCCGCGGACAGCGCCGCCGCGACCAGGCAGCACAGCAGCGCCAGGCAGCGCGCTGGGGAGGCCATTTCCAACGTTGGGACTGCGGAAAATAAGGGGAACGGCAACTCCGTGAGAACGCGGATCCTTTGAGCGGCAGCACATGTGGGCCATGCAGGGACTAGCTGCCACGCCCTTCTGTTTCGGGACATGCTGCTATGTGGCTGGGTGCAGCCCGACACCGCTGGGGACACAGAAGACGGGGACCGCGGTGGTATTTTCCGCGCGCCAGATGGAGCGGCGCAGCGGCCCGGCAGCGACTGGTCCCATCCCCACTCACCTCCGAAAAGGCTAACCTAGCTCTGGGAGGGCTGCGCCGGGGGAACACGCCCGATGGAGGCCCCCTGATTCTGTCTAAATAGATTGACGGCGGGAGGGCTGCCCTGGAGCCGCACACACGCAGTTCTGGCACTCTTTGTGAACGATGGAGAGGGTGTAATGCAGTG